TCCTGCGGGCAACTACAATGCGCTTGGGGTATGCCGGAATTCTTGTGTTTTAACCGCTAAAATAGTGAATATCCTGGCGCTTAGTTCGCGTCCGCTGGCACATGGCGTTTAAGCGCAGGAAGTCTTTATAGCTTCATTTGTAAGCAACGTTTGGTGGCTTATTAAATTAGTCCGCCTTCCGTTCTGATTGGATTTGCGGCGCTTTGTTCAGATTACACGAGAATAGAGAGAATAAGACGATAAAATGTGCTTCGTTTAAATGAAGCTCGCTTATAGAAACCTTTTTAACTATGCTTAATCAATATTTCAGAGTAAATAGCTGCAAAAGAAACAATTAAATGAGCCCAGTAAATTAATCAAGTAAGCAAAGCAGCAGGGTTTAGCTTAATAGGCTGAAATATGAACGTAGAATTGCCTTAGTAGTAGACATGGAACAGGGTTTAAAATATGTCATAAGTTATACTAAATTATGTTTATATTCATACACTAGACGGACTTAAGGTCATATCTCTTAGTACATGCGCGCATTCCACATGCGGAAAATGGGTGGAAAATGATGTATAGGATTTGTATGAGTTTAGGGTAAGCATCTTAGCATAAGTTTGGGGTTAGCATCTTAGGCTGGAAAATGAACGTAGAACTGTCTTAGTCGTAGACATGGAACAGGGTTTAAAATATGTCTTAATTTATACTAAATTATGTTCATATTTATACACTATACGGACTTAAGGTCATATCTCTTAGTACATTCGCGCATTCCACGGGCGGAAAATGGATGGAAAAGTGATGTTCATAATTTGAAGCATAAATCGTAGCTCGAGCAAGGCCTGGTAATTCGTACTGGCATGCATATAAATAATATTAAAATGACCCCATACTTAATCAGAGTTGAAATTTGTGTGCTGAGCGAGAGCAGCCGCCAGTTCGGCTCGTTTGCAGGGCATTCAGGCTCTGGCGACCATAACTGGTGGGCGACATAATGCCCATCTTAACCGCAAGTACCCGTTACGCATAAACCAAATCCAGTTGAATTTCGTGTCGCAACCTTTGAGCAACCTAAGCAAACCATTTAATGCCCGCAACGACCACGACTTTGGCATACTTCGCTGAACAGCAGCAGCGGCAGCCAGTGTTGCCAGCTGTCGCTTCAAAAATATAGCTGAATCCACTATTAGAAATAGCTAAAAATAGCTAAAAGGAGCTGTGTTATGCTTATAAGTAAGCTGGGCCACAGTTAAACTTAGTGCATAATGTTCAGCCAAATATGATTAGAGATGAGACATGTTTAAAACTATCGATAGGCAATGAACAGGGCTGCCACATAATCCAAAATAAACAGTGTTAGTTTAGACAAGGTAATATAGCTGCCTTTGCTATATTTTTCAATAAATAGCTGAGTCAGTTTAAAAAAAAAAGGACAGAATTGCAGGCGCTTGCAAATTAGACTAGCTATTTAGCTAGAAAATGGCTGAATTGGCAACCCTGGCAGCAGCAGCAGCAACAACAACAGCAGCTGAAAGCTTGTCGAATAGTGGGCGTGGCCGTCGAGTCGCCTAGGCAGCAAACGTACAGCAAGACCCACAGCAATTTCCACACCAAATCGAAGCTGCAACAGTTGTTGTTGTTGTTGTTGTCGCCGTTGGCGTTGCTTTTAAGCTTCGTTAAGAAGCACTTTGAAGCGCTTTGGCCAAAACAGCGCAAAATGTCCTTGCCCACCAGCGTCAGATTCCGCCTACCAGTCCGCGTCCCGGCGTCCGTCCGGCTTCTGTCTCCACTTTCATTCCTTGCGTAATTCGCTGACACACAAAAAATTGTTGCTTCATTGCGTTTTATGTCAGTTGTGGCAACTGTTTTTCCCCAGCTCTTGTTGCTGTTGCAAATTGCTTATTTATTTGAATCGTGGCATGCTGAACTTTGAGTTCCATCTCTTATGGCGCTGTCGTAATGCCCCTCTACAATGTGCATTGTTTTCTTTTTTTGGTTCCAACTCTGTTCTCACTGACTTTGATTGGAATTTATATTAAGAGCAGCTCATGCATGCAGCATACGGTAATAAATTTGTTGCTGTTCAACAACTTGAAAATTCTATTTGTGTTTTTTTTCTTCTACTTCTTACACTAGCTGCGGGTAGTACAATTTAAGCGGTCCATATGTCAAGCAGGGGAAAGGGGTTATTTGAATGACAATTGAAAGCTGTGTTGGGCAATTTAGGAATAATAGTGTTGTATAACTATGAGAGATAAGTGATGAAAATTATTTTAAATTAGTACTGTTAAGAAAAACTTAAGCGCTCTTCCAGCTATCTAGAGCAAGTCTTATATATATAAAGTCTTAAGAGAAGCAAATGCTCTCTTGAGTCCAGGATATCTTGATCAATCATAGCTTTGAGCTTTTAATCTAAAGAGATTATCAATATTTGAAACAATTTGGAATACAATACTATAACGTTTTTAAAGCTGGCCTTAGGCTGAACCCTGAATTTAAATGTTTTAACATAATACGGAATCTTGAAACGGCCCAGCTGGCCCAAAAAGCAGCTCAACTCAAACACAAAACGAGCAAAAACCCATTTTGTAGAGAAAATAAATTATATCTGAAAACAATTGCAAACATTCCTAGAAGGTTGTATACTGTGAGAGTTACCTAGAATATGTTGAATATATACAATTCTTATATTTAAAAGAAGCAGCAAGAAAAAATATTTATTATTTTTAGATTACAAATTGCGAACTCTATGTGGCATACAAATGAAATTAGTGGTGGCAACCCTGGCCTAAAAACCGAACGCAAAAACGAGACATTAGTTTGAACCATCAACCGGATCAACGACATTCTTTCTACGTTCAGATAAGTTCGTCCTAAGCCAGAGCTAGCCTCTGACACATTTAGTGCATGCTCAATAAAATTTACAGCATATATAGGGTATTTAGGCATCGGCTCCTTGCCAGATAGTTTGTTTTTTCGGCACTGAGTGACAACTTGTCGTTTGTCACTAGGAAATTCAATGAATATTTTCTGCAGTAGCCAGAAAAAAAACGAAATGCAGGGAAAAGAAAAAAAAAACGTAGAATCAAGTGAAAAGTTTACAATTGGCTGCATTTTGCACACATGAGATTCGAGAGAGTCGAAGTGAAAGTAGGAGTAGGAGCTGGTAAAAATTGTTAGCCGGACGAATGCAAATGCAAAATTTATTTACTCGACACAAAGCAGTTGTAAATTTGTATGTCAGGGGCGTTGACAACGGGCCGGAAAATGTACGTTGCATGCAACATTTTGTGGCCACGTTCTGCGCTTAAATTCTTAATTGCGAGTCTTGTGTCTCGCCGCTTCTTGCGCTCTCGCCCCTTGTCTGGGCCCTCGGTGGCTGGCAAATATTTACACAAATATCAATAACAATAAATTGCAAATTTTCTTTTCAGCCCAGGCAGCAAACAAATAATTTTATATACATTTTTTTTTCTTGTCGATTTTTCGGTGCGAAGCGAAAAACAATTTGCCTCTATAGGAGAATTTGTGGGGCAACAACAATTTGTCTTGCTTAATCTCGGTTCATTAATTTAAAGTGCTACTTCGAGCACTCGACTCTGAGATGCTGGAGAATTTTGCAGAAATAGGCGGCTGCCACGCCCACTGGCTAGTAGAGTCAACAGCCTGGACCAGGCCAAACAATTGCCTTCAGCCTTGCATTGTTGGCATGTCAAAATATATTTTCATGTCATGATATATTTTCGGTTCTGCGGTTCGCTTGAGGAATTGGTGGGCGCGGGACGGGGTCGGGGAGGGAATCGGGAGGGGGTCGGGAGTTAGCATTTGGCTTAGCATTTTGCAATCATTGTCTTCTTCTTGTTGTTCGCCTTGGATTAGGGTCAAGTAGTGGCAACTTTGGCCACACTTTTGACTCGTTTTTAATAATTCATGAGCCATTTCTGTGGCTGACCTTCACAATTTAAGGGGCTTAATTCTCATTGTGGCTGTGTGGCAGCTGCCGCTTCTTTCCTTAAAGCTGCTCCGAGCTAAATGTCAAACGCTGGGCGTGGTTCAAGGGCTTAGAGGCGTCGGCAGTGCCAGAGTTTGGCACTGATTTCATTTCATGTCCTAACAAATTTTGTGGGCTATCGAAAATAACATTGACTGATTGAGGGCAGGGCACAAGGCAGGGCTGTCGGGTAAAGGGGGTAGAGGGGGGCGTGGAAAGTGTCTCAGCAAAAGACAAGCTGTAAGCACTTTAAACAAAGTTTTTCAATATTTATTGGATATTATAATGGACTCAAAGAGTGTCAGTGTTTTAAGAGTAGAAATATATATTGTTGTATGCTTTTCGCTTTGCTTTTTCGCTGCTTAATGCTTGTAATTCTCAACAAGTTAAGGCTATTAATAAGATCAAGGTGCTAGAGTCGATAGCAAAGTCGTTTGTGGATAGAACTGGAAGGCTCTTCTTGGAAAAACTTCAATTAAATTAATTGAATAATAAATGCAGTGATAAACATTTAAGGAATAAACTAAATAATTATTTTTATTATGGGGAGTGGCGAAGAATAACATGTTGCCCCACGCATTTGTTACTAGCAGTGCTCGAATCATTTGAAACATTTTAAAATATTTCACAAAGGTTAAGGTAACTTTATTTATAAATATTACATAACAATCAATGCTAAAAAGCCTTCAATCAAATGATGGAGCTATCGATTGTATTCATCCTTACTCTTAACATATAATTGCGTGTCGGAGTATCATAAAATGTTAGTATAGTCAAAAATTGGTTGAATGCTCACGTTTTCCAACACTGACCAAACTGATAAATGCAATAGCTGCTTAATTATATTGACACTTATTTGATGCTGAGTTTATATTTGAATTGGACTGCAAGCTTGTGACCTTTGTGAATACAAAACTCTATACATATTCACTTAAAAGACAGTGTTGGAAAGGTTAATTCGCATATTAATAACTTTATGCATTTAAATACCTTACAAACACTCGCTTTTTTATCTACATTCAACTGTATTTTCTAGACTCATTTTTGATTTATTCAACTAGCTTCCACTTATGAGCACATTCACATTTTCAAGTAAATTGCGACTCGGAATCAAATTTTCCTCCACAACTTGTAGAAACGTCCATCGGTGTTGAAAATGCTGCGCAGCATAAAGACCTGCAGCATGCCGACAATAATCATGGCAATAAACTGGGCACAGGACCAATTGTTGACCATGGTAAAGCTGGACTCGGCCAGCTTGCGATCCCTGGCCTCGAGGGTGCGTATATAGTCCTGTGTCTGGCGCGATCGCATCATATTCAGCCCGATCTTCGTGACGTAGTCGTGCATGTGCGTGTAGGCGCGATCGAATTGATAGTCCGTGGTCATCTCCTTGATCAGCTGCTGGCGCTCCAGCTCCTCATGATTGCCCGCCGCAATCTCCAGATGAAAGGCAACAATTTTCTGATTGAACGAGCTAATCGTATTGTCAAAGCAAAATTTATAGATGCCCGTCTCGTTCGCCTCCATGCGGTGCTTCTTATTGTGCTGCTTGTGATCCGCGGCGAGCAGCTTGCGATGCGGATCCATCAGATTGAAATTGATGTGCGCCTCGCCCTGGCCGCCGTGTATCACCTGATATTCCAGTATTATGATCTCTGTGGCAGCCACGGGCTGATGATAGCATTCCATGCGACCCGCTTCCGCAAAGATGGTCAAGCGATGGCGAAACACTTCCGCCTTGCGACCAGGTGGCAACGCCAGCAACAGCACCAACAGCAGCCACGCTGAGCAACATGCGATTTGGAACATTGTTTGTTGTTTATTCTGTTTTTTTTTTTCTAAGCGTAAATGGAAAATCGTTTCAACTATTGTCACAATTCTAGACTAGCCCCCTGTAAAAAAAAACCCTCTCGCCTCACTCTTCGAGCAGCGCCTACTCGGGCTCTTAAGTAATAGCTGGCCGCACAGTGGCTTCTGGCAGTTACTGGCCCAACCTCAAACAAGGCAGAATGTTTGTCAGTGCTAGACTATGAGATACTATCTAAATAGATATTTATTTTATCTAGCATTATTCTCTCTATGCTCTCTACTTCTCAGTCCCAGACTAAAAGAAAGGTGCATTGTTTAATTATATCCGTGATTATCCGTGTAAGGGCATAAGGATGACATTCAAGTATGTGTATATACCACTAATCAAGTTTTTCTTTAAAGGTAATATTATTATTTAAAATTTCTTTGGGAGTAGCAAATGGTTAGGCGAGATATGTACTTGATCGGTTTATACAGTAAAGACATCCTATATTTAAAAATTTATGTCTTTGGCGCTAATAATTTAGAGAAACTAAGGCTAGAAATCAATGTTATTATCGATTATGTAAGAATGGAACCAGCTCGCGAGGGATCTGTCAAACTAAAATCTCGAAAGTTTCTAGTTTAGTCTAGTTAAAAAGTCTTCGAGTAATCCACACAACCCGGGGCCAATTAAGAGTATTTAATGATCTTGGGGTATAAAAAGAAAATGAGTAAATAAAGTATTGAAATAATATTAGGGAAAGTATCAAAAAAGTAATTAAATAAAATATAGGAAAATAACAGATAGACTGCCAGATGATATATCTTATCTATTCACCTATCCAACCTGTTACATTTGCATAACCTTAAAATACCCCCTTTAGTAAGCATTTGCGATGGCTACAGGGTATAACTAGCATAATGTTCCTGTCCCGTAAAATCCTTCATTGCGACCAACTGCAGCAGCAACTAAAAGCAACTGCATCAAAAGGAATATGAATTGAGGTCGATGTGTAAATATTTGTCAACGGTAATGGAAATTTATGCTGGGCTGCTGCGGCTGCTGCTGCTGCTGCTCGCGAGTGGGCGTGGCAGGTAGCTGGCAGGTGGGCGTACGCTTACATATATACATTTTTTTTTGTGCAAAACTGTTGGCGACGACGACGACGACAGCAAAAGCCGCGTTTGCCCAAAAAGAAACTCTGCAAATAGACACGCATACTCGCACACACACACACACACACAATCTCTCACACACACACACACACACACTTGCACACATTTAGAGTCGCCTTCGTTTGCACACGTGTGCAGCGGTTTTTCACAACATTTTTTTTTTTATAGTTTAGTTTTGAATTTTCTTCATTTTTTTGTTGTTGTTGCACTCTGTGGTGTTGGTGGCGCATAAAAATTTCAGCAGCCGCGCTGCACTTCAGTTTGGATATTTACTCAAAAAAAAAAAGCTGCCCTGCCACGCCCCCGAACGCCCGCGTTTTGGAAAAGGGCACACAAACTTGCGTCAGCGTCGCTGCCGTCGGCTAAAATACGCAGTCGATGCATGAAAGCTGCAAATAACGCGACCAGCAAAAAACATGCAAAAACTAATCGAGAATGCTCGACGGGTTGATACCCTATAATGACTGATAAAGTAGCTGGTACTATTCGTATGTGTACACACCTTGCTTAACACCTTAGAAAATTGTTTTCCTTGTTTCTTAGTTTAAGAATACTCAACTGGTAGATACCCTGTAGTTGTATACCCCGTAATATAGGACGAAGTTGCAAAAAAGCAATCATTTATGTATACTCTTTGCACCAAATTGAAGAAAATTGACATTTCTCTATTTATGAGTATTCAACCGAGGTGCTATTGAGTAGCTGGCAACAGTTTTATATTTAAAAGTACTCGATCGAGGGATACCCTGTACTCAAATGTGGTGTAGCCAGCTCTCATATATGCTTGGCATCTACTTCGGAATAGGGAAAAAATTTGTTATCGTGACACTTTTATACTAGGACCATTTTTGACATTGTTCGACTAGAGGATACCCTGTATTATGTGCTTAGCTAGACGAAAATATTTAGATAAATGTGCATATGCCTTAAACTGTAGAAAATAATAACTCGACTTAATTGTAACACCTCTCTTTTTAAGAGTACTCGACCGGTAAATGCTCTGAACTATAGAAAATAACTTCTCGTGAAACTTTTATGGCTGAAAAAGCATTGATGAAGGTTTTTGTCTAAAAGATATACTTTAGGCGAAAAATGATCCAAGATATTAAATATCGACAAGTATATTGACATAATGATTTATGAATATATGATACCTTGCTATTCAGCTCGTAACATACTCTTCACAAAAGTGTATCCCACTCTATACACAGATTGTGTATTTATACAGGGTGTAAAAATGTTTGTCGGGGTCGATGTCGCTGTCGCCATGTGGCAGCTGCCAGGTGGCAAGTTGATGTGGGGCAACTGGGAGCAAGGGCTAGCTCAGTGCTGCGGCTGTTGCAACTGGGCGCCAAGTTTTGCACATGCCGTGAAATGTAGAAGCCTTTACCAGGTGTTTGTGTGTTGCGGGCGTGAGTGTTGGTGTGTGTGTATAAGTGTGCTGCGGGTGTGTATATTGCTTTAGTTGATTGTTTGCCTGAGGCGCGTGATATGCAAAGGCGGGGTAGTTGGGCCAAGCACAGACTCTGCCAGCTTGTCAGCAAGACGGCCAATTCCTTTTTATGAAATTAGAAAAATTGATAGCTCATATGATTTATTTTTTCCATGAAATAGGTGGGAGACATGTGCATAAGATTGGATTCTATGGATATTCGAGAGCAGCTCAATAAGAAAATGCTCGGCAAACGTAAGGCGAAAAATTCAAATCAAAGTCCTGCACTTGTGGGGCATGAAATAAGTGGGCATAGCCATATTCATCTCTCTTTATTTATTGATCCTAAGAATGTTTTCAAACATGATGCGGGGATTCTAGATGTTGTAAGACGGTGCTCGATTGAATCATGTTGAGCGCAGTCGAGCGCGTTCATAAACATAGTTAAGCAAGGTCGGCGGCTGCTTGATGAGGTGCAACATGATCGATCGTTTGTCAGACACGTTGCTTGACGCGAACGAACGTGGTCATAGCTCACATATAGCTTAAACATGATCAAACGCAATCGAACTTTGTCAAATATTCCACTAGACGAGGTCGGACAATGTTTCGCCTATTCAAACAAGGCTTTAACGTTGTCCAACACGGTCGAAAATAGTCCAATGACGAGTTCAAATGTGGTTGGATGTTGCAAGAAGCGATCGGATGTTGATCATGTCTTATAGTTCAGCAGTTGCAAGAAGAAAAAGTGGACATATGGTCACACTAAAACATTTCGCTAGTTTCTCCCGACAATTTTCATTATGTTTAATCTATCACAATAGTCTATCAATCTTCTATTGGATATGTTAATTTCTGATTAATTTATAAAACCTTCTAAAATTTGTGCGTTGATAAACAAGTTTTTCTGCTTGGTTCAATGATTTTTCCACTTTTTTATTCATGTTCTATACCTCTATATAGTTGCAACCCTGGCGGCTTTGACCACGCCCACAGCCGTATCAGTTGACGATGTAATTAACAAGTGCATCAGTTTCTCATTGTTTGCGCAGCGCGGCTGGAACGACGCAGTGTTAATTACTCCCCAGCGTCATGGCCTGTTCCTTGCCAGGTACCGATCTGACCCCACCCCCTCCCCCCCTCCAATTCCTCTTGCTCCTTGTTCAGCTACTGCTTCTGGGTCCCAGTCGTGTGGCTGGCATGTCTGACATAGTGGCTCACTTAGTGCTCGGTGTTGGGGTTCTTGAGCGAGGCGTGTTGACAGGGCTCCCAGGCGCGTGAAAGTCGCAAATTAAAGCGCCACCTGTGGCCAGGTAAGTGGGCTAGTGTGTCCCCTTAGTGTGTGTGTGTGTGAGTGTGTGCGAGTGTGTGTGTGTGTGTGTGTGTGTGTGTGTGTGTGTGCTCTTTCTTGTGTGTTGCCCCAATGTTAATATCAAAATGGCGCCCGACGCTGCCGGCAATTATGGCTGCCATCGAGCACTGCCACGCCCAGGTACTCAAAGCACGCATTCTGGCCAAAAAGAGCAGAAGAAGAAGAAGACTGATAACAACAAAAAGGCAAACAGCAAAAAAAATAAATTTTTCTTGGCCATTTAACGCTTAACAAGCATTTCACAGCAGTTACTCGTAAGTGGCATTTTAAAGCTGGCAATGGCGATCGTTTATCACAGGACATGGCCGGCGAGGACAACAGCGGCAAATGCGAAGTCCTGCGTCCCAGCAATGCTGTTAATTTCATTACCAGCAGGAGCGGGGCGGGGCGGTTGGGCGTCTGCCAGTGACCAGAAGGCGTCCACTGCAAATGCTGCACAATCGTAAAAATACATTTAATTGCAGCTGGGAGCAAATGAAAAGCGAGCCAAACCGAGGGGGAAGTCTCGGCCAGCGATAGGTGGGGGGCGAGGGGCGCGGGGCGTGGCAGGGGCTCACACACAAACTATTAAAAAGCAGTGTCCATTTTAACGATCAAATTATTGCTGCGATATTATAAGGAAGACAACGCAAAGGAGCGACAGCAGCGCCACAAGAAGTCAGTTTCGGTCCCTACGCTCCCACCTCCCAGCTCCCCCCTTTCCCCTCCCCCCTTCCCTCTTATCCATGCGCTTCCTGCGTATGTCAACGCATGTCCAGGCCGATAATGCGTCGTCCCCGCGGGCAGTCGGGCAGGGCAGCCAGTATCCCAGTTACCCAGGCAGATGCATTAATGTGGCGCCATCTGTCGTCGAGACGCTTAAACGTGCTGGTGTGCGTAATGAGCAAAGCGGCTTTTAAACTTAACATGAAGGCAAAACGAAAATTTAATTTAACTGTAACTGGAATTACGCATTCGTCGCTGAGTAATTGCAATTGCATATCGCATGTGGACCAACTATGTATGAGCACACTTAAAGCTTTAAGGCTGGAAAATCAGTTCTATTCTCTCGATTTCCGTACTCCTT